GTATGAGTTACTCAAGGAATAACCTTGTTAGTTTGCACAAGACCACAAGTGTATGAGTTACTCAAGAAATAACCTTGTTAGTTTGCACAAGACCACAAGTGTATGAGTTACTCAAGAAATAACCTTGTTAGTTTGCACAAGACCACAAGTGTATGAGTTACTCAAGGAATAACCTTGTTAGTTTGCACAAGACCACAAGTGTATGAGTTACTCAAGAAATAACCTTGTTAGTTTGCACAAGACCACAAGTGTATGAGTTACTCAAGGCATAACTTTGTTAGTTTGCACAAGACCACAAGTGTATGAGTTACTCAAGAAATAACCTTGTTAGTTTGCACAAGACCACAAGTGTATGAGTTACTCAAGGAATAACTTTGTTAGTTTGCACAAGACCACAAGTTTATGAGTTACTCAAGGAATAACCTTGTTAGTTTGCACAAGACCACAAGTGTATGAGTTACTCAAGGAATAACCTTGTTAGTTTGCACAAGACCACAAGTGTATGAGTTACTCAAGGAATAACCTTGTTAGTTTGCACAAGACCACAAGTGTATGAGTTACTCAAGGAATAACCTTGTTAGTTTGCACAAGACCACAAGTGTATGAGTTACTCAAGGAATAACTTTGTTAGTTTGCACAAGACCACAAGTTTATGAGTTACTCAAGGAATAACCTTGTTAGTTTGCACAAGACCACAAGTGTATGAGTTACTCAAGGAATAACTTTGTTAGTTTGCACAAGACCACAAGTGTATGAGTTACTCAAGGAATAACCTTGTTAGTTTGCACAAGACCACAAGTTTATGAGTTACTCAAGGAATAACCTTGTTAGTTTGCACAAGACCACAAGTTTATGAGTTACTCAAGGCATAACTTTGTTAGTTTGCACAAGACCACAAGTTTATGAGTTACTCAAGGAATAACCTTGTTAGTTTGCACAAGACCACAAGTGTATGAGTTACTCAAGGAATAACCTTGTTAGTTTGCACAAGACCACAAGTTTATGAGTTACTCAAGGAATAACCTTGTTAGTTTGCACAAGACCACAAGTGTATGAGTTACTCAAGGAATAACCTTGTTAGTTTGCACAAGACCACAAGTTTATGAGTTACTCAAGAAATAACCTTGTTAGTTTGCACAAGACCACAAGTGTATGAGTTACTCAAGGAATAACCTTGTTAGTTTGCACAAGACCACAAGTTTATGAGTTACTCAAGGAATAACCTTGTTAGTTTGCACAAGACCACAAGTGTATGAGTTACTCAAGGAATAAAAGCAAATTTTCATTCCTATTTTTCTTATTTGTGACTTCTCAAGAACAGGTACTTTGTTTACAAGAGAACACATACTTTTACTTGAGCTAAATTTTGTTAGTCCTTATTTAACTAAAGCTACAAGATATGTTTTGGTTTATTATTAGTATACTTACTGAATTTGTACAAAATTGCGGGGTTTTTTCAATTTTCAAAGAGTAGTTTAGGTTTATACTTATTGTATTTTTTAGGTTGTTAGTGAATTTGTACAAAATTGCATGATTTGGATTTCTAATGGATAGTACAAGCTAGTTTAGGCTTTTCTGACGTTATGTTCAATACAGTTTAACATCATGTAAATTTTTAAATTGCTGAATTTTGACCTTATGCATAAGTGTAATTTTAGCTGCCATGCTTTGATCTTGTTTCATACCTTTTTTGTACAGTTGAAAATTATCCCAAATTTAACTCCAAAATTTTGCGCCCAATTCCTCACGACATAAGAGGATAGGAATATTCAATTGTCTATTTGAATCTATTCTCACATCTGTTGGGGGCTATGTTCATACTTGCATGCAATATTCTACGCTGCTTTATTTATTTTGCGATTCTTGGGAATGTTACAAAAATACTTATTTGATATAACAAGGCGCTCACTCGGCCAGAAAAATGTTTGATTATATTTACGTCGGGTAATAGTTGTTGTCAAATGCTACGAATCAAAGGCACCACTTGTCTCAGAATCCTTCTTTCCTATACTTGTTACGCGATAGTGTATCAAATACTTTGGTTGTCTGTAAGATTAAAATCAAATTTTATAACATTGTCGATTAACTTTAAAGTAGTGTATTGTATGGAAAAGTTCCGTAAATAAAGACTTCTTATCTTGATTTTATACAAACATAGCCATGTATAGGAAGCCTGGTAGAACTTCGAAGAACACGAGACGTTCAGAAAATGAACAAAACGACGAAAGCAATGATGAGGTAAACTTTCAAGATCGTCATGGAGAAGTGAGAGCGGAAATCGAAAATGGTACTGGAGGTTGTCCCATACGAGAGAGCCGTATTGAAGAATTCAATTGTTCGCCTTACATACCAGAAGAGCTTTAAATTGACTTTGGCCTAATGTATTAGAACATATATATTTTGAAGTAGCCCTTCACCTTATATGTTTTATAGTTTTACTATTCACATTTCAATTAACTGTAAGTCATTTATCCCTATTTGTATAATTAAGTATCACATTCAATATTTATCATCGTAAAAATAACCATTCACTATATAATAGTATAAAATGCGAACACTTGAAAACGCATCTTGTTTCAAAAACGGAAACTTTCAAGGACATATTTGTTTACATCTTGTGTAGCTAATTGATAATTAATTAATGTAGCTATTTAATAACTTTCCTTAAACTTTTGTATGTAAAATATATTTATTCTTTATTTATGTCATTATTAACTTTGAATGGAATGATAATTTTCAATGTAATCGTTTATCGTTTTCTCTCGAAGTGTTCCTAAGCAGTTGATTTCAAAACAAGCCAAATAATGATGGTAAATTCTGGTTACTGTTAAAAACAGCGAGAAGATATTGTTATGAGTTTGCTTGCAGGCTTCTCAAACTAAGTCCATACATGAGAGAACACAATAGTGAAAAGGAAAATTTGCTAAGGTTCTTGAAGGAGTTTGGGAGAACACAAGAGTGAAAAGGAGAATTTGCTAAGGTTCTTGAAGGAGTTTGGGAAAACACAAGAGTGAAAAGGTGAATTTGCTAAGGTTCTTGAAGGAGTTTGGGAGAACACAAGAGTGAAAAGGAGAATTTGCTAAGGTTCTTGAAGGAGTTTGGGAGAACACAAGAGTGAAAAGGAGAATTTGCTAAGGTTCTTGAAGGAGTTTGGGAGAACACAAGAGTGAAAAGGAGAATTTGCTAAGGTTCTTGAAGGAGTTTGGGAGAACACAAGAGTGAAAAGGAGAATTTGCTAAGGTTCTTGAAGGAGTTTGGGAGAACACAAGAGTGAAAAGGAGAATTTGCTAAGGTTCTTGAAGGAGTTTGGGAGAACACAAGAGTGAAAAGGAGAATTTGCTAAGGTTCTTGAAGGAGTTTGGGAGAACACAAGAGTGAAAAGGAGAATTTGCTAAGGTTCTTGAAGGAGTTTGGGAGAACACAAGAGTGAAAAGGAGAATTTGCTAAGGTTCTTGAAGGAGTTTGGGAGAACACAAGAGTGAAAAGGAGAATTTGCTAAGGTTCTTGAAGGAGTTTGGGAGAACACAAGAGTGAAAAGGAGAATTTGCTAAGGTTCTTGAAGGAGTTTGGGAAAACACAAGAGTGAAAAGGTGAATTTGCTAAGGTTCTTGAAGGAGTTTGGGAGAACACAAGAGTGAATAAAGATACGGATGAGAATAAAGATTTAGAGGAACATCGCGAGAGCTTGGAGAAAGTACATCCAGACGAAAATAATTCCCGTTCACAAAACGTTCCAGAGAGCGTTGCAGAGGATCAAGGGATGGAACCTGGAGCAGAAAGTCAGGCTGAATATTTAATATTTTTACTCGTACTTTTATATTTGGAACTTCTTATTGAATTGTATGATTTAAATTTTCCTTCAATTCCTGATGAACTATAAATATCTATAATTTGTACAAGTGTGCCGTGAACATAATGATAATTGAAATATTAACTAATTAGAACAAATGTACTTTTCGATGTCGTATTTTCTTTACATAGATTTTTCCAAATCCATAGGTCGGAAAACCGATTACGTCACTGAATACGTCATAAACCATTTTCACGACAGACATCGAATAATAATCGGCGAATACCGATAGTTTCCACCGGATGTTTCCGAGAATCGGTAAAGTCAGTCATGTAAACTCAAATTGTAAACTTGTTCGTCTGTATTTAAAGTATTACCGTTTGAGGCTCTTGAAAATTTTGCATTGAAAAATGCAACTGATTGAACAATCTGCGTTATATCTTTGTACATATTTTGTGCCATCATCAACATAACGAATTGCTTGTATTTCTATTTCAAAATCGAGCGACGTTTAATATTATGACTTCATTTAGGTAAGTTCTATTGTACTGCAATCATTGATCATCGTTAGACTTTATAAAAAGATCTTTACTCCTTTTGAATTTTAAAACTGCTTTATATTTATGGCAAAAGTTTGCTGAGATTTTGTTTACGATTGTAACATGTGACAGCCTGGGTTATGTGTTTATTATCATAATTATCAGTCAGCCAAGCTTTTTTGAAACCATTATGAATCAACATTAACATCATCTGACGTCGTACATGAACTGTTCTTAACCAATAGAGCTATACCTCATATTCATCATGTCATTTTAACTTTTAAATATGTTTATGTCAAGATTTCAATTGTAGAATGATTATTATATATACTACTGAACATTGTGTACAACAAGACAACTGTCAATAAATGAGTTGTCAAGGAAAATGAACCTTAAGAACCAAGAATAACATGAAGCTTTGTTTTACACCACTGTATATGACAGATCATTCTCATTGAAATGCATCAAATTGCAATATTGCTACATAAACACAATGAGGATGAACATTTTGATGTTCACGAAAACAAGATTTAATTATTTATAGATGTACCAAATGTGTACAGCAATGTACTTATATCTTACAATACCTGTGCCAGGCCTAAATAACATACAATAATAAAAAATCTTTTAAAAATATCATTGTTTGATTGTAAACTGTTTTCTTCTTTAAGATAAATCCCATTTCACCACCTACCTATGTTGTCATGACAACAACAATGAATCGAGAAGAAGGTTTGAAAGCTTTGAAAACTTCAATCAAAACCATGGAAGAAGTCATTATGAACAAGAAAGGAACATTTGTTTTACAACAAGCTGTAAGTGTTTGGTTTATATTTCTATGAAAAGTATATTGTATCACTAAAATGACATCCCCCTGGTGCCTCTACTGTCCTCATATCATCCTGTTACCATTTCCCTAAGTACCCCATGCTGTATTAAGACGGACATATTCAATCATTAGTCGTTTGTTTGAAAATTGCAAAGACACCATCCCAATGCATTGAAATGAATAATATTAGGACCCTGTGACATTGGCAATAATTTATGTTAACTGTCCACAAAAATTAGTTTTTTCTAAAGCTAATTATGCATTGTGATATCATAACGATGTCTTTTGCATATTGAAGAAAAGTTATGTGTCTCCAAAACAAAATAAAATAACAAAGCATGTGTTCACACCATTTACACAATGACTGTCTCATGTTTGCTTTGTCTGACTGTGTAACTATTATCAGAAGGACATCACTTGAGTCCATTGGACATTTGACACACTTGTATGATGTATCAAAGATGTGAAATCATACAAATGACGTATGTTTAATGAGCTGCTGTTTTTTGCAGCGTCAGAGAAAAAAATAAAACAAGCAGAGTTTGTCATGTTCTTATTCGAGTAGTACTTTATGTTTAACTTAGGAGCTAAACATGTTTCATACAAAATGTTTTATGGTTTTTGATTGGTTATATGAAATTATCTATTCCACGACCAACCCCTTATCTCTTGTTTTCAGTGTGAGCGTAGGGGTTGGTCGTGCCATACAAACAAAATATTTCTACTCTATAACATTGCGTGAACTGACAATCTTTCGTAAAAGCTCAGAAGCGATATCTCTGACTCTTTGAGCTTCAGACGCAACGTTTGACTGTCCTTTACTGATTTCTATGTTCACACACAATCCAAGAACACAGCAAAACGATGAATAATTGGACAATATTTGAAATACACGTGCGAATAAAGTTGGGCACGACCAAAGGAAAATATTCGGCGATTGAGCATGCGTACGACTCAATGCAGCTTTGTATATTATTAGTAATTTATGTTTTGTTCGTTCTCCCCTGATCAGAGCACGACCAAACTAGGGCTGACTATACCCATTTTAACAGGCCGTGAGGTTTTCCAGCCAATTAGCGCTTAGGAATATATAATTTGGTCGTGCTGGTCTGAGTAGAGGACGACCAAAAACGGGCGAACGCCCTTCCATTAGCTTTTAGTCAATAAATAGGGCAGATGTCGGGCAGAAACGTAATATAGTGAAAGTAATATGAAGTAAAAAGAATGATAGCACAGCGCTATAACCAACAACTACAAACAATAACGACCTTGTCCAACAACATTTGAGAAATTAACCTTCCACTCCTCTTCCTTGTAAACCAGACAAGTCTGCTCAAAAGCAGCGAGTCTTATACGCTACAAGTCCCGGGCTTGTGACCGGTATAGCAGAGTTAAAAGGTGAAAGGTTTATCATAGATTAATCAACTGAATATTCCTGCTCATTTTTTGTTTGGAAGCATGTTGAACAGTTCATATGGACAAACATCAATGTATTGTCTAACATTAACACCGGATTATGTTACTGATATTTAATATGGAATTCGAGCTTTGTCCATATGAACTGTTCAACATGCTTCCAAACAAAAAATGAGCAGGAATATTCAGTTGATTAATCTATGATAAACCTTTCACCTTTTAACTCTGCTATACCGGTCACAAGCCCGGGACTTGTAGCGTATAAGACTCGCTGCTTTTGAGCAGACTTGTCTGGTTTACAAGGAAGAGGAGTGGAAGGTTAATTTCTCAAATGTTGTTGGACAAGGTCGTTATTGTTTGTAGTTGTTGGTTATAGCGCTGTGCTATCATTCTTTTTGTTTAATAACATTCCAACTATTTAACCTTGTAATATGAAGTACATATCACGAAATGCAAATGAAGCATTAGAAATCGATTTTGTTTTCGCTAATGTCTGTTAACATTAAAAACAAATATTAAAATTTTAGTGGGTAAATAAAACCTTAGTTTGAAAAATGTTTGGTCGTGCTCAGCATAACCATCACGACCTCTAGCTATGCCACTGTGTGGATGGTTTGTTGAAATTAAGAATTTTCACCCAGTGGTCGCATTTTCTTTTTGTATTATAACTTGTTTCTATACTTAAGTACATTATAAAGTAAATGGTTTGAACCTGGGAATGTCGTAACATGTTTGTAGATGTAGATCGTCCAGGTTGGTATAGTCCAGAGAAGGACTGTTGGTGTTGTTGTTGACTGACTTTTCGACAACCTTAGCGGTAGTCATCTTCACAGTCAAATGTTTGTGGAAGTCAGAGTCAAAAGTTACTTCACTCTGAAGATGACTACTGCTAAGGTTGTCGAAACGTCAGTCAACAACAACAAAAACAGTCCTTCTCAGGACTATACCAACCTGGACAATCTACATTTACAAACATTCAACGATATTATGTTGTTCTTCATCAGCTTGGAAGAGATTTGGACAGTACAGCATGTTCATGAGAGATCAAAGAATGACCATGTGTCTCAAAAGGAAGATCATGGACACTGTCATACTACCAGCAATGACTTATGGAGCAGAGACGTGGGCACTTACCAACCATCAAAGAGAGAAACTGGCAATCACCAAAGGAGCATGGAAAGATCAATGCTCGGTGTCACGAGGAGAGATAAGATCCGGAATGAAGACCTGAGAGCAAGAACAAAGGTGAAGGATGTCATCGAGAAAGTTAATGAAGCCAAAGGAAAGTGGGCAGGACATCTAGCCCGAATGAAAAACCATGAATGGGCAAAGAAAACATCTGAAAGGACCCCGTGGGACAAGAAAAGAGGCAAGGGAAGACCAAAAATGAGATGGAGAGATGACATCGAGCAGAGAGCGGACAGCATGTGGATCCAGAGAGCCCAAGACCGTGAAGAGTGGAGAAAGATGTGGAAGCCATCCGCCAGCAGTGGCGTGACAGGCTGATGATGATGATGATGATGATGATGTTGTTCTTATACTTTAGTACATCACGATGGTTCGGTATAAAAAATAAAAAGCCTTTAAAAGCAATTTTATTCTGAAATTTGCAGCAAAAATAGACCAACGGATGGAAAAATTGTGTGATAAGAAATTTTGAGCAAAAGATAATCATTGTCTACAATGATCTACCAGTGATCCTATCTATAAAAATGCAATGTTCCTGTTAAATTTTGTAGCAAGTGGTAGACAGGAAGCCAAAAATAAAATATTGTCACAGCGCAAACTATAGTCAACATATTTGTGTTCTTTTCACTGATTTGCACGCAGAACTTTGAAATACTTTTTGAGCAAACCTCATTTTTGGCTATGAAATAACACTATCATTATTAGCTTGTTTTGAAACAATTGTGTTGGAATGAGTTGATAATAGCACTGAAAAAATAAAAATCAATAACGACATAAATAAAAATACAGATCATTACGAAATAGATTTACAAAAACTTACAAATTTTTACACATTTTTCATTAGTAGATAACAAGTATGGTTGTTTTTGAACGATTATTGAGTGGTTAAAACAAAATATTTTCTTGAGTTTTATACAAATGTATTTATAATACAAAATTTACATAATCTGTTTCTTTCTATGAATACCACTTTACGTTGAAGTTGACGATGATTTAAAGTTTTTCTTGAGTCGCCAATGTATCGGGAATTACATCCCGCGCAATTAAATTCTTATACCACCATAGATTTAATTGAATCAGGGATTGGGTCTTTGAATGAGAAAAGGTTTTTGATTTTGAATGTTGTGAAAATTAGTCGAATGTCAATATCTGTACAGAAGCATTTCATAATGTTTGTAAGTCTGCGTTGTGTGTGTCGTGAGTAATGTCCGATGTATCGTAGTTTGAAGTATAGAGTTGTTATTTTTGAATTTTCATTTGTGTTGGTTGTAATCGTCGTGTCAGGAGTTTCGGTGTCTAGTTTGAGGTTGTTGCTTTGTTTGTTGTCGAGATATCGTTTTACGGTTCTGTTAATAAAGTGTAGTGGGAAAGAGTTTCGTAAATGTTTTTATGTCTCGTTAAAAGCCATTGTTTGTATTGTTAAGTTTGTATGCTCTGTCGATTAGTGTGCGATAAATTGGCACATTACAAGTCCATTGTTGACTCAAACCTTCACTTTACCCACAGATTTTTAACCTTGATCATTACTGACCAAGAGCTTAGCAATCTACTTTTGTGTTTATTTTGTCAGTTCTTCTCATTATGTCAGATACATGCCAATCAAGATTAGGGGTTGAAATGTACTTGTAAATCCTATTGCCATGCCTTTGCATTCATGCAAGAAATTTGTTGATTTCAAATGATAAATTTAAGCTATACATTTCTACCATTGATTATCATTTTTATCTGTTTAGCCAAAGATTGTCACAGATATGGATGAAGCAGACTTTGCAAAGGAACTAGAAAAACTTGAACTTCCAAATGCAGAAGTTGATGGTGATGATGATAATCCTGATGATGATGAAGAACAAGATGAAGCAAAAATGATTGTGGTTTGTTCTAAAACTTTCTGTGTTTTATTTTTATCATACACGACCTGCGGTTGCCTTGAACAACAATTTGTTTAACTTCAAACTCCATTCAAACCCTATACATTACAAACATGAATTATTTTCGTTTGACGATCTGAAATAGATATTTCATTGTCAGTATTTCGTGAGGCAGTTTTTGAAGTTCCCCTGTTCGGGTTAAACTGCAGCTCTGAATTTGTAGTTTGTGATGAATAGGACATTCGTCATCGTGAAACTATTGTAAATGCCAAATCGTTGAAATGAAAGCATATTTAGAAAGGAGATCGTTAAATTTCATATTGCTAACAATTTCCTACGGGCGAAAACTTTCCTTGGACTTTTTAATCATAATTGATCCAAGATTCAAACTATCTTATCAAAATTGGTTATGAATTATGACTGTCGATGCTTTAGTTTGTCTGTCGCTTTCCATTGTCTGACCCTGAGTTTAAATTTCATCTTAACTTAATTTTGACGTTCACCTTTGTTGTTTATCAGAACTTATACAGTCTGTGAGGTTCGTTGAAAAATTCTAATACTCCTTTCTAACTTTATATATCATCAAATGAAATCAAGAATATTTGAAATTTCAAACGCGGAAGTGTATTATGACGTTAACTGTATTAAAAAGTACAAAATCTCACAAAACGACAAAAACTTTATGATTATGTCGACATTGCGAATGAAGAAAACAATAACATAAAGGAAAATATGGCTAGTTTTATAAAACAATGATGTATCGTATCGTATATGTATTTCGTCTCTCGTACATTTGAGCCTCCTTTGAGAGATGTTTTCTTCACCAAAGTCAAGATGTGAATGAAAGTATGATGTCATCATGCGTTCGACTCCTTTTTAGGATTTTCATTGGTTGATAATTCCTCGAGATTTTGATTGGTTAGTTGGGGGAAACTGTTGTACTTCCGACGTTGGCAAAACAAGTTACACTCAACGAAACGTGCAAACGAACTAAGACGACGAACGACTAACACAGAGGTGATTCTTAATGTCTCAGATCTATCTCAATTTTCAAAGCGTGCAAACGAAACTTTCAACTTGATTTGTACATTTTTACCTTCGTGGCTAACTTGGCTTCAGTAAAAGAGGTTGGTGTAAGAGTTACGATTTACATTTCACTAATTTCAGTGTTGTTTATAACTTTCACGTTTTGCTCCACCATCGTTAAATCATCTCACTAATAATTTAAGTTTATTATTATTATACATGGTGTATCATACAGAATGTTTGAAATTTCTTGTTTATTTGCCATTGAGCTAAACTTCAGTTATAATTCAGAATAAATTTACAATGCTCCAAAAAATTATGAATAAATGTCAGATTTTCAAACTATCTAACGCGTAATAACTGCTTAACCGCTTCAAATAAGGATACAGTTGAACTAGAAGCGACAGTAAACTCTGACTTAAATCAGACGAAAGGACGGCACCATGGCAGAGGAAAACGACAGAAAATGTAATAATTTACATGTTGCAATTGGCAAAATTTTTCAGATTTTCAAACTATCTAACGCGTAATAACTGCTTAACCGCTTCAAGTAAGGATACAGTTGAACTAGAAACGACAGTAAACTCTGACTTAAATCAGACGAAAGGACGGCACCATGGCAGAGGAAAAACGACAGAAAATGTAATAATTTACATGTTGCAATTGGCAAATTTTTTCAGATTTTCAAACTATCTAACGCGTAATAACTGCTTAACCGCTTCAAATAATGATACAGTTGAACTAGAAACGACAGTAAACTATGATTTAAGTCAGACGAAAGGACGGCACCATGGCAGAGGAAAAACGATACAACATGAAATAATTTACATGTTGCAATACGTCAGAGAATAAAGAATGAAGAATAAAGAATGAACGGCCACTCGATGTGGGAACAATGGTCGGAGCCTTTGATGTTCGTCTCCCCCACAGATCTAATACACTAGATAGTGCAACTATCTAGTGTATTAGATAATACACTAGTAATATCACTATCTAGTGCAACTATCTAGTGTATTAGATAGTGCAACTATTAGATAGTGCAACTATTAGTTAGTGCAACTAGATAGTGCAACTATTAGATAATACACTAGTAATATCACTAGATAGTGCAACTATCTAGTGTATTAGATAATACACTAGCAACTATCTAGTGTATTAGATAATACACTAATAATACACTAGATAGTGCAACTGACATAAAAGTTGAAGCCGGGCAAATTTACTTCCGGAGCCCCAAAGTAGTGAGAATCAATATGGCGTTGTATTAGAAAATATCTGCTCCAAGTTAATTTCTCGCAATTATTAGCAAATCGCGGAGGTTGCATCAACTTTTTTGTACTATTTATGAAATAAATCATTGTGACTATAGTTTGTAAGAAAAAAAATTGCAGAATACGCCAATACATCGCCGTAAAATTGATTTCAAGTGTAGCTCGATTTGAAAGCATCAGCAGCGACTAAGGCTTAAGTACTGGAATTTGCACATCTAAATATCATATCACAGGACAATCTGCGATAGTGTAGCTTAGTTCGTGTGGCAAATACAGCGATATCATACTCGATCTATGGATGTATTGTAATAGAACAGGCATATTACAAAAATCAGTCAGAAATTGACATATGTTACAAGCACAAATTAAATATTTTGCTCAGAATAAATAATTTAGGTTTGATATTTTCAATAACAAGAATGTGTAGAAAGTTTATACATGCCTGAATACATGCCTGAATGGTAAAAATAAGGATACAGTTGAACTAGAAGCGACAGTAAACTCTGACTTAAATCAGACGAAAGGACGGCACCATGGCAGAGGAAAAACGACAGAAAATGTAATAATTTACATGTTGCAATTGGCAAAATTTTTCAGATTTTCAAACTATCTAACGCGTAATAACTGCTTAACCGCTTCAAGTAAGGATACAGTTGAACTAGAAACGACAGTAAACTCTGACTTAAATCAGACGAAAGGACGGCACCATGGCAGAGGAAAAACGACAGAAAATGTAATAATTTACATGTTGCAATTGGCAAATTTTTTCAGATTTTCAAACTATCTAACGCGTAATAACTGCTTAACCGCTTCAAATAATGATACAGTTGAACTAGAAACGACAGTAAACTATGATTTAAGTCAGACGAAAGGACGGCACCATGGCAGAGGAAAAACGATACAACATGAAATAATTTACATGTTGCAATACGTCAGAGAATAAAGAATGAAGAATAAAGAATGAACGGCCACTCGATGTGGGAACAATGGTCGGAGCCTTTGATGTTCGTCTCCCCACAGATCTAATACACATAGTGCAACTATCTAGTGTATTAGATAATACACTAGTAATATCACTATCTAGTGCAACTATCTAGTGTATTAGATAGTGCAACTATTAGATAGTGCAACTATTAGATAGTGCAACTAGATAGTGCAACTATTAGATAATACACTAGTAATATCACTAGATAGTGCAACTATCTAGTGTATTAGATAATACACTAGCAACTATCTAGTGTATTAGATAATACACTAATAATACACTAGATAGTGCAACTGACATAAAAGTTGAAGCCGGGCAAATTTACTTCCGGAGCCCCAAAGTAGTGAGAATCAATATGGCGTTGTATTAGAAAATATCTGCTCCAAGTTAATTTCTCGCAATTATTAGCAAATCGCGGAGGTTGCATCAACTTTTTTGTACTATTTATGAAATAAATCATTGTGACTATAGTTTGTAAGAAAAAAAATTGCAGAATACGCCAATACATCGCCGTAAAATTGATTTCAAGTGTAGCTCGATTTGAAAGCATCAGCAGCGACTAAGGCTTAAGTACTGGAATTTGCACATCTAAATATCATATCACAGGACAATCTGCGATAGTGTAGCTTAGTTCGTGTGGCAAATACAGCGATATCATACTCGATCTATGGATGTATTGTAATAGAACAGGCATATTACAAAAATCAGTCAGAAATTGACATATGTTACAAGCACAAATTAAATATTTTGCTCAGAATAAATAATTTAGGTTTGATATTTTCAATAACAAGAATGTGTAGAAAGTTTATACATGCCTGAATACATGCCTGAATGGTAAAAAAGACAATAAAAATGTTGAAAACAGTAGCATAACATCACCATAACAGTACATTAAGCACTGTGGGCAGTGGCCATATAACCCACTGGTTTAGACTATGACAATACATTGTTTATATATATGTGTAAAACACAGTCAATACTACAAGTCTGGTGACTCTTCTTGCTTTAACAAGTAAATATTTTCCCCGTGTTGGACAGAGTGTATTGTATCAACCTGTGGTATCAACAGTTTCACAAGTGACCTGCTATTTTATACTTCACAAAAATTTGGTGTAACAGAGGTAGACTCATAATATAAAACAAATTCCGAAGAAGCAAGACATACTCTATGACATAGACAAACAAGACAAGCAAGACATAGACAAGACATAGACAAGCAAGACATAGACTCTTCGAGGTAGACTCTTCACATTCTTTCTGTAAATAATTTCTGAACGTATTAATTACTCACATCTTGACATAGCTATATTCGTTTGCCGACCAGAAACACCAGAAAAATGCATTTCTGGTACAATAATCCAGTGCAATATTTAATTATGTACAGTGAACAATATACTTTATATAAATCGTGAAAAATCTTTCAAACTGTTATCTCCAACTCGTTTTACTTGACAATAAATATCGGAAGATAATTCTACGACGTTCAATTGAACATTTTGTGGCAGATTGTGCTGTGATACGATATTTAGATGTGCAAATTCCAGTATCTTAAGCCTTCGTCGCTGCTGATGCTTTCAAATCGAGCTACACTTGAAATCAATTTTACGGCGATGTATTGGCGTATTCTGCTATCTTTTTCTTGAAAAACTATAGTCACATTGATTTTTTTCATTAATAGAGTAAACCAGTTTATGTAACCGTCGTGACTTGCAAGTAATTGCAAGATATCAGCTTTGACCAGATATTTTCTAATACAACGCCATATTGATTCTCACTACTTTGGGGCTCCGGAAGTAAATTTGCCCGGCTTCAACTACTACTTATGAAATGTAATGAAATGTAAGCCGTTGCACTATCTAGTGTATTATTAGATCTGTGGTCTCTCCTGTTTTGAGTCCGGCGGCCATGTTTCTCCAGCCAGATGAGTGCAGCCAGATCGTAATATATTTCTACGGAAGCGTTTTGGCAAATAAACACAAATATTTCTATAGATTGGTCATTTTTTTAATATTTTTTGTGTGGATACAGTTAACACACCAAGCTTGTTGTGTAGGACTGATTACACGTTACATTAAACAAAGAGGAATAAGTCTTATTGGGCGTATAAGTCCATGTCTTTCGCAAACTGTAATGTTTGTTCCTTAAGATATGAAAATGCACTGCTATATAAGTGTCACGCGCTTGGAAAGCCGGCAGAAAGCTCGAGCGATCATTAGTATATCCACTTCCGATGCTTTTTTTGCCACGATTATTAAGACGTCCTCGCAAATTTAACATAAAATTCATTGCTATTTTGAATGAAACCGTTTTTATTAAATAAATACTCTATCGTCATTTGTCGTCCAAACGCTTTGTGAAGAGTAAAATCTTCGTCCTTCACCGATAAATCGAACGAAATATTTTTCTATAAATGAGCAGAGTCAGCAGAGTGATGATTAAATTAGTTTAACATGTCAAAGCAAAACTTCCTGTTAGTTCATTAGTTGAGTTGTCGTGATGAAATTTATAATTCGTCTAAAACTCTTGTGGACTTAGTGGTGCAGTATCTATGAAGCCGAAATATTTATAGTTGTGCGTGTCAGTCTATTCCGAAATCATGTAGCGGTAATCAAATTGATACATACTCTTCCATAATAAGCTCTACAACACTCTCAGTTCGGTACTTTTCTTGGCCATCACATTACACATACGTACATATTTTAAAACGAAAATTAATTGACATGCTAAAATTAATGCTTATACTCCGAACAGTTAACCCTTTAAAGCAAATGAAGATGTCGTGATGAGCGAATCTGGTATAGCGTAAACGCAGCCTTATTCCTTAATACATGACCCGATGTTCGTGGTATTTTACGTATGGCTATTAGTGTCCGTTGTGATACATTTAATCCGTTAATCGCATTTAGTGTCCGTTTAATCAATTGGTACAAATAGACAGGATGTTAGAATTTTTATAAAGGATTTGAAACACCGTGGGCGTGATACAAACTATAGTGGTACATTTTTTCCACCGATGCTTATCAGTACAACTTTCCATCTTATTTTTCAGTCGTTACCAAGGCCAAAAAAACAGAGCTTCAGGGTTAAAACTCTCTACTGGTTATAAAAATTCTGCCTTAATCAGAAGTTTGTAAAAGGAATAAAAACGCGAAAACTGTGATTTTGTAATACAAAAATAAGGAAAGGAGCGAAAACGGTGAAAAAATCCAGAGCTAACTTTAATCAAACACGGACGAGAGGAAAATCGCGAGAGCTTGGAGAAAGTACATCAAAACGAAAAAATAATTCCCGTTCACAAAACGTTCCAGAGAGTGTTGCAGAGGATCAAGGGATGGAATCTGGAGCAGAAAGAATCAGACTGGAATATTTAATATTTTTACTCGTACTTTTATATTTGAAACTTCTTATTGAATTGTATGATTTACATCTTCCTTCAATTCCTGAAGAACTTTAAATATCTATAATTTGTACAAGTGTGCCGTGAACATAATAATAATTGAAATATTAACTAATTAGAACAAATGTACTTTTCGATGTCGTATTTTCTTTTTGTGAAAAATTAAATTCTTATTATCATATCTTGTTGCGCTCTTATGCCCTCATTTACATAAAAAGATGAAATCCCTAATTTCCCACATCTATAGGCCGGAAACTGATTACGTCACTGAATACGTCACGACCATTTTTACGACAGACATCGAATAATAATCGGCGAATACCGATAGTTTCCACCGGATGTTTCCGAGAATCGGTAAAGTCAGTCATGTAAACTCAAACTGTAAACTTGTATAAAACAAATTCTGAAGAAGCAAGACATCTTGAGATTGCAAAATATGCATCGAAACAAGACGAGAAGTGAACTGTAAATTTTTGACTTTATTTCAAAGTCATCCTCAGACAGAATGACAGAATTGCTCGTCTGTATGTATAGTATTACCGTTTGAGGTTCTTGAAAATTTTGCATTGAAAAATGCAACTGATTGAACAATCTGCGTTATATCTTTGTACATATTTTGTGCCATCATCAACAACGAATTGTTTGTATTTCTATTTCAAAATCGAGCGACGTTTAATATTATGACTTCATTTAGGTAAGTTCTATTGTACTGCAATCATTGATCATCGTTAGACTTTATAAAAGATCTTTACTCCTTTGAATTTTAAAACTGCTTTATATTTATGCCAAAGTTTGCTGAGATTTTGTTTACGATTGTAACATGTGACAGCCAGGGTTATGTGTTTATTAGCATAATTATCAGTCAGCCAAGCTTTTTTGAAACCATTATGAATCAACATTAACATCATCTGACGTCGTACATGAACTGTTCTTAACCAATAGAGCTATACCTCATATTCATCATGTCATTTTAACTTTTAAATATGTTTATGTCAAGATTTCAATTGTAGAATGATTATTATATATACTACTGAACATTGTGTACAACAAGACAACTGTCAATAAATGAGTTGTCAAGGTAAATGAACCTTAAGAACCAAGAATAGCATGAAGCTTTGTTTTACACCACTGTATATGACAGATCATTCTCATTGAAATGCATCAAATTGCAATATTGCTACATAAACACAATGAGGATGAACATTTTGATGTTCACGAAAACAAAATTTAATTATTTATAGATGTACCAAATGTGCACATCAATGTAATTATATCTTACAACAGCTGCACCAGGCCTAAATACCATACAATGATAAATAATCTTTGAAAATTTCACTGTTTGATTGTAAACTGTTTTCTTCTTTAAGATAAATCCCATTTCACCACCAACCAATGTTGTCATGACAACAACAATGAATCGAGAAGAAGGTTTGAAAGCTTTGGAAACATCTATCAAAGCCATTGAAGAAGTCATTATGAACAAGAAAGGAACATTTGTTTTACAACAACCTGTAAGTGTTTGGTTTATATTTCTATGAAAAGTATATTGTATCACTAAAATGACATCCCCCTGGTACCTCTACTGTCCTCATATCATCCTGTTACCATTTCCTTAAGTACCCCATGCTTTATTAAGACGGACATATTCAATCATTAGTTGTTTATTTGAAAATTACAATGACACCATCCCAATGCATTGAAATCAATAATATTAGGACCATGTGACATTGACAATAATTTATGTTAACTTTAAGCAAAAATTAGTTTTTTCTAAAGCTAATTATGCATTGTGATATCATAACAATGTCTTTTGCATATTGAAGAAAAGTTATGTGTTTCCAAAACAAAATAAAATAACAAAGCAAGTGTTCACACCATTTACACAATGTTTGTCTCATGTTTGCTTTCTTTGACTGTGTAACTATTATCAGAAGGACATCACTTGAGTCCATTGGACATTTTGCCCACTTGTATGATGTATCAAAGATTTGAAATCATACAACTGACGTATGTTTAATGAGCTGCTGTTTTTTGCAGCGTCAGAGAAAAGAATAAAACAAGCAGAGTTTGTCATGTTCTTATTCCTGATGAACTATAAATATCTATAATTTGTACAAGTTTGCCGTGAACATAATGATAATTGAAATATTAACTAATTAGAACAAATGTACTTTTCGATGTCGTATTTTCTATTTGTGAAAAACCAAATTTTTATTGCCTCTTATTGCGCTCTTATGCCTTATTTACATAACAAATGTAACCGAATTTCCCGCTTCAAATGTAACCGAATTTCCCGCTTCATTACCATTTTACCATTACGTCACAAACCATTTTCACGACAGACTTCGAATAAGAATCGGTGCATACTCTTGTAGAGTATTTCTCATTGTAATCCGCAGGGGCGGATCTAGGATTTTTCAAACATCAGTCATAAAACGTCGGAGGCGCTCCGCACCTGGGGGGGGTCTGAGGCATTCTTCCCTGAGAAATTTTGAATTTCAGAGCCTTGAAAATGCCATTTTCAGCGTTTTAGAGCAATACAAAATGTATTTTGTGGGCATCGTTTTTGTGTAAAAACAACACATTTTGCTTACGTTTTTTTCAAAAAAAAATAAAGTGAACAATACTTGAATGTTTTGCCAAATATTTAGGCTCATTATCATGCCAAATATATGGCTCATTAGCATGTCTAGGAACGTAAAATTTATTTTACAATAATGCTATATTCAAAAACAGATATAGTCTTTAAAAATTTCTACCAAGTTGTCAGGCATAGACCCCCCCCTAGAGACACCCATTCAAACCTCTATGTAATAAGTTAAGTTAGAAATTTGGTACTATAAGTGACAGTTTATAGATATAGAAAAGCTCAGACTTCAAACCATGCAAGTTTATTGTAACCCTTTACCCATCTCCACATCAGTGCCAGCAAGTTCACCCTTTGAGAAAAACTCAAAATTTTTTTCTGCCAAAGATTAAGCAAAAATTATCAAAGTGAAAATTTGCAGTTAAGGTTAGCTTAATACCATAAATGTTTATTAGGCATTTCACTAGACTATTATCTTCTGCAAAGTGTGCTATATAGCAATCACTAGTAGCATTGTATTATCAAATACAAACAGAATGTAACCAACATGTCTTTAATTATATAATTACATGAATGTTAAAATTGGTTCATGTGTCATGCTTACTGGTTATGATAAATATCTTTTCATATGATCAAAGCTTGTTTAAATGTAAATCTGAAATAATTTAGTTTAGAAATTATAATGATTATCAGAAAAATTACCTAGTGATCATGAAAAATACTTTGCTGTTTTGCCAAATTTCAAGGTTTATCTGCATACATAGGAAGACATTTTTGTTTATAGAAAATGCTTTTCATACATCAATAGCCCTTTGGAATTTATGGCAAACAATCTGGTATGAGCCGTAGATTAACACACCTTTACATCTCTACATGAGGTGTTCAGTTATAAAGGGGACAATATGTAACATTTCATGTATGTGAAATACTCAGGTTTAATACCATTCCAGTCAAATTGTCAAAATAAAAGCTTCATGGATCAGAAGACTCAAAATCACAGGTTATATTAAACAGCTTCTCATGTAATCAATGTTAGTTTTCTCAAATCTTAAACAATATGTAGTATAACTGTCCAATGATTGAATGATCAATGATCATAAACTGAAAAGCCCCAAACATTTGTTTATGATAAAGTAAATAATAGTATGGCGCCTTATGGCTACAGATTTTTGTCCATTGAAATATATTTGCAGGAATGTAGGATTCCCCAATTAAAGAAATCATAGCTAAAAGTCCACCGGAACAACAATTTTAGAAGCATCAATCTGCTTACCATACGCCATATTAACATAAATCGCATCACACACTCGCATAAATTGACTTTGATATATTGCATTCATGCATACACTTCACTTGTCCTTTACTTACGATTTTGGATGTAAATTTCTGCTGATAAAACTCAAAACAATGTTGGCTTTCTTTTGAACATCAATGACTGAAATGTCGCTCGCGAGATCGTCTTTGCCAAGCATTTACAATTCATCCATAAATTTTTCACCCTCTTGAAAAAATTCCCAGTTTGGAAAGCAGCATTCATGTCAATATATGAATTTGTAAAAGATTTCCATAAATTCCATCTGATTGTAGTTTAGTTTCTATCATGCTTTAGAAAATTATTATGAAACGATCAAACATTCAATTCAGACAGTGAGCTTGACTATGTTAGTTCAGTTGGCAATCAGTCCAAATAGGTCAAACCAATCACAGTAAGACAAAAATTTAAACGAACCAATTACACGATAGCAAGTGGACTCCCTTATAGGTCCGGCCACCCCGCTTATCGGTCGAAATTATTCCAGATCGTCCACTGATCTGGCCATTGACCAATGAAATAAGCGTTTTTGGCGTTCATAGACTCCTTTATCCGTCGAACCAGTCAAGCCACCCCGCTTATCAGTCGGTTATTCCAGGTCAATTAAAATTCAACTGATCTGGTTACCAAGGAGATATTCATTGGATTAGTCATTAGATTTCAATAATAAAAAAAGCTGGATTTTTATCACGAAGTAAATGCGATAATAAAGTAAGAATAATTAATGAATTTTTAATTAAAATGAATAGGTAATTTTTGAATTTCAAACATCAGTCGCGCGACGGATTTGACATACTCTAGATCCGCCCCTGGTAATCCGTCAGAGTCAGACCTATTTTGTGAAGTATATGAGATTTGTACTTCAGAAGAGAGGTTGCTGTGAGAGGTAAGAAAGCTTATTTATTTTATTTGACTCATGTTGAAAATAAATTTCAATTGAATGTAAATCTCCGACCTTAAATGACGATCGATCCTCACTAAAGCGAGTGGTAATAGTTTTAGTTTATTGTTGTTATACATGGTGTGTTAAACAGAATGTTTTAAATTTCTTGTTTAATAGTTGTTGTGCAAAAGTTTTGATGTATTTCTTATATGATATACCGTTATGCCTCGTAGAAACTTTGTATGCAATAATTGAAATTGAGGTATTTTTCATCTGCTATAAAATATTGAAACATTTAATGAATTTTCACAAACTATCTGGTAAATAACGCGTACGAAAAGCGTCGTGCGACCCTAAATTTATAGTAAGTTTAATGATGTAAATGTCGTGGATAAGTTTAATGGTGAATAAACAGTAAGTAGCCCAGCAAGTGTCTTAATTCCCTTATTTGCATATTAAATCGTACGTAAGAAAAGTGTCGTGCGACCCTAGATTAATAGGTTAATTTGCTCGTTGTGATCATGCGCAAAATTCGACAAATTAAGTTTGACTTTTGAATCGACGTCGAGCCACGTCGTTCTTTGCCGTACCTAATATGAATTAGGTTTGGCACATGAAAAGCACGACGTTTGAACCGTGCTTAAGCGAAAGTCGGTGATCTTTTCTTGTTGCCTTTTCAAGTCAATAAAGACGATTTATGACGACAGTTCTTTTGAATACAAAGGTTCAGGAGTCTTCTGCATCTGAAAATTTCGAAAACAGACTTTGTTAAACAACTTGTGGCAAAGAACAAACTAAGAGATTGTAATAATTTGACTTATACGAGTAATAATTATAACTTTGCAAAAGCTATCATTGGCTAAAGCACTATGTCTCACGAAATTGGACGAAATTACGCTTGTCGTTGTGGAAGGTTTCTTGCTAAAAATTATTTGCTTTTCGTTGTGGACTGTGTTTCTACGTTCATTAAATCTGAAAATAAAGTTCTTTATGTGCATTTGAAACAAGCAAATGCTAATGTTAAATGTGCAAACAATTATGTAATTTTGTGTTAAGATGGCTTTTGCTAACACGCAGTCGTCCTATTACATAGCATCATGACTTTCCTTCATAAACCTTACATATGCTCAGTACAACTAAAGTGTAATGTGCCAAATGGTAGTTTCAAAACCATGGCAAAAGTTATCAAAGTTTGAAGCATCCTGTTTAGAAAGCTGCTGTAGATGCAAATCAATAGCAATCAGGCAATACAAGAAAATCGCTATTTGCCCTGATTATAACTGAAGGTAGATTACTGTCATACAAAATGAAATTGTTTTATTTCACGAGTCTTTGAAATTGAACTATTACAAACATCGAGTTATTTTATGAAACACAAAGTCCAATTCAGTGAAGCATGCATGTTCCCATGTATTAAATGATTCAGACAAATATTTTAGATAAAATTAAAAGGAAAAGTATCATGTATTTTGACACGACAAAAAGCTGCAGTGAGAAGCAACTACAACATATGCTTGACCGCAGTCTATGCAAGCATCTTTGCCAACTTTACCAAAGCCTATCGCACATTGAACATCAGCATTTGCTTCATTCAAATGCAACTAAACAACTTTATTTTCAGATTACATAGATATAGATACGCTACCTTTAACAAAAGCAACAAAATTTTAGCTTGAAAGTCTTCTTTGTCGTGATGTTGTTGACAAAACCTTCCGCATAAGTAACCGGTATCCTTCATCTTGTTTGGGTCGACGTTGGTAGAAATTTGTGAGACAGTGCAGTTATTTTCAATGGGCTTGCTTGTCAGCTTTTCGCTAGTAACCGATGATAGATTTTTGCAATGATACTAAATTTTATTAACCATCTCGTACCATTTAAGTCGATACAATCTTTCAGTTTGTTTTTTGACTTGACGCCGCTGGATGTTGAACAATATCACCTTCATTGTGATTTAATAAAGCAATTTTTCCTAAAATTTCGGGCAGAATGCTCCTCGATGCCCGTATTTAATTCCTCAAACAAAATGTCGTCTTTAGTCGTCTCAACTGACTTTGAAAGGCGGCAAGAAACAACACAATATAGATTTTGCATTGTTGTCCATGCATAAACACATGCAAAATATAATACGATGGAATATTTTATTCGATACCACCTGACCGTGACCACTTACACCACTAGACAATAGATCATGCGCGCTTTTGGCTGTTTTCTACTGAATTATGTTTCCCATCATATACTTCTTGACTCGAAAATATACTTCACATACTTGATAGCTTGTTAGTTTGCACAAGACCACAAGTGTATGAGTGACTCAAGGAATAAAAGCAATTTTTCATTTCTATTTTTCTTATTTGTGGTTTCTCAAGAACAGGTACTTTTTTTACAAGAGAACACATACTTTTACTTGAGCTAAATTTTGTTAGTCCTTATTTAACTAAAGCTACGAGATAGGTTTTGGTTTTATTATTAGTATACTTACTGAATTTGTACAAAATTGCGGTTTTTTTCAATTTTCAAAGAGTAGTTTAGGCTTATACTTATTGCATTTTTAGGTTGTTAGTGAATTTGTACAAAATTGCATGGTTTGGATTTCTAATGGACAGTACAAGCTAGTTTAGGCTTTTCTGACGTTATGTTCAATACAGTTTAACATCATGTAAATTTTTAAATTGCTGAATTTTGACCTTATGCAGAATGTATCGAATGTTCTTTAATTTTAGCTGCCATGCTTTGATCTTGTTTCATACCTTTTTTATACAGTTGAAAATTATCTCAAATTTAACTCCAAAATTTTGCGCCCACGCCCTCACGACATAAGAGGATAGGAATATTCAATTGTCTATTTGAATCTATTCTCACTTCTGTTGGGGGCTATGTTCATACTTGCATGAAATTGTCTACGCTGCTTTATTTATTTTTCGATTCTTGGGAATGTTACAAAAATACTTATTTGATATAACAAGGCGCTCACTCGGCCAGAAAAATGTTTGATTATATTTGCGTCTGGTAATAGTTGTTGTCAAATGCAACGAATTAAAAGCACCACTTGTCTCAGAATCCTCTTTCCTATACTTGTTACCCGATCGTGTATCAAATACTTTGGTTGTCTGTAAGATTAAAATCAAATTTTAAACATTATCAATTAACTTTTAAAGTAGTGTATTGTATGAAAAAGTTCCGTGAATAAAGACTTCTTATCTTGATTTTATACAAACACAGCCATGGATAATTTGCCTGATGAAACTTCGAAGAACACGAAAAGTTCAGAAAATGAGCAAAATAACCAAAGCAATGGTGAGGAAAACTTTCAAGATCGTCTTGGAGAAGTGAGCGGAAATGGGAAATGGTACTGGAGGTTATCTCATACCAGAGAGCCGTATTGAAGAATTCAATTGTTCGCCTTACATACCAGAAGAACTTTAAATTGACTTTGGCCTGATGAATTAGAACCTTCATATTTAGAAATAACCACTCACCTTATATGTTTTACAGTTTTACTATACTCATTTCAATTAAATGTAAGTCATTTATCTCTATTAATATATTTAAGTATCACATTCATTATTTATTATCGTAAAAATAACCATGCACTGTATAATAATGTAAAATGCGAACTCTTCAAAACGCATTCTTTTTCAAAAACGGAAACTTTCAAGGACATATTTGTTTACATCTTGTAGCTAATTGACAATTAATTAATGTAGCCATTTAATAACTTTCTTTAAACTTTTGTATGTAAATATATATTTATTTTTCTATTTATGTCATTATTAACTTTGAATGAAATGATAATTTTCGATGTAATAGTTCATCGTTTTCTCTTGAAGTGTTCCTAAGTAGTTGATTTCAAAACAAGCCAAATAATGATGGTAAATTCTGGTTACTGTTAAAAAACAGCGAGAAGATATTGTACACTGTCATACACATGCAGAATATTTGAATGGACTATTTAATTTATTTCTCTCTTGTTGAGTGTTGAGCATTTCTCTCTTGTTTAGTTGGACTTATTCAATAGTTTATAACTAGTCGATGATCTTAAATATTGAATATGTTCTTACTTTCAGAGCAAACAATTTTACGAACTTTTGAAATCGAAACCGAAAATCTTGGATTTTTTGAGAGCATTGGGATTTTCTCTGTATTTTTATTTTAGGAAAAAGATATTTTTGGGTGTTGCAAACGATATCAATATTTTGATTAATTTGGTCGCCTAGCATCTCTCTGCTTTGTGTGCTCTATTATTAGATTGATATTCAATGATTCTGTCTATTTTAATTTATCATATAGAATTTTAAACATTTAGCAATGATAATTATTCGTTGCCCTCGGTCAGAGGACTGTGAACTAGTCAACAAACAACTGAGAATGAACATTATATTTTTGAATTTATGAAAACTGACTTGGTAACATTGAAAATGAACTGAAAATGAGTTTATTTTCTTTGTCTTTCTCTGTTTATTGCAAATAAAACGTTATCCACTCTGTGGCATTTCGTTGTTCGTGTCTTATGACAACAATTTTAGCCGCCATTTTGGGAATATTTTAGTTATTTGTGTTAAACTTGGAAATGTTAACGTGAAAAAACTGAACCAAACGAAGAAAAGTAGAAGCAATACATTCATTCTGTGCTTGATCTCATAAGGTTTGTGTCAAGTGTGAAAAAATATCTTCAAATGTTTATTTTCTGTATGTTTTTGTATGTATGTTTAGGAAATTTTGTTTGTAAAATTAAAGTTAAGATTGTACAGAGCACAGCGATTATTTACGAATAAATTGTCTTTTTCTTTAAGATAAATCGTATTTCACCACCAACCTATGTTGTCAAAACGACAACAATGAATTGAGAAGAAGGTTTAAAAGCTTTGGAAACTTCAATCAAAACCATTAAAGAAGTCATTATGAACAAGAAAGGTACATTTGTTCTAAGTATATAGTACCGTCCCTCAAACTTTCTGTTATCAATTTCTGTATCATTTTATCCATGTGCATATTATGCTCTTAACACCTTGTTATCATCTTCATACCATCTTCTTACTACCACCATGTGAACCTCATATCATACCATATAATCCTCAAACCATCACCACATCATCTTTGTACTACCACCATGTGATCCTCATATCATACCATATAATCCTCAAACCATCACCACATCATCTTTGTACTACCACCATGTGATCCTCATATCATACCATATCATCCTCAAACCATCACCACATCATCTTTGTACTACCACCATGTGATCCTCATATCATACCATATAATCCTCAAACCATCACCACATCATCTTTGTACTACCACCATGTGATCCTCATATCATACCATATAATCCTCAAACCATCACCACATCATCTTTGTACTACCACCATGTGATCCTCATATCATACCATATCATCCTCAAACCATCACCACATCATCTTTGTACTACCACCATGTGATCCTCATATCATACCATATCCTAGTACCATCACTATATATCATCCTCATGCAATCACCATATTATCCACATACCTTCCCATACCATCCTTGAAGGTCATTGTGTGATTTGCACATTACAAGTCAATTGTTGATCCAAACCTTCACTTTACCCACAGATTTTAACCTTGATCATTACTGACCAAGAGCTTAGCAATCTACTTTTGTGTTTATTTTGTCAGTTCTTCTCATTATGTCAGATACATGACAATCAAGATTAGAGGTTGAAATGTACTTGTAAATCCTATTGCCATGACTTTGCATTCATACAAGAAATTTGTTGATTTCAAATGATAAATTTAAGCTATAAATTTCTATCATTGATTATCATTTTTGTCTGTTCAGCCAAAGGTTGTCACAGATATGGATGAAGCAGACTTTGCAAAGGAACTGGAAAACTTGAACATCAAAATGCAGAAGTTGATGGTGATGATGATAATCCTGATGATGAAGAAGAACAAGATGAAGCATAAATGATTGTGGTTTGTTTTAAAACTTGCTATGTTTTATTTTTATCATACACTACCTGCAGTTGTCTTGAACAACAATTAGTTTAACTTCAAACTTTATTCAAACCCTATACATTACAAACATCAATTATTTTCTATCAACGATCCGAAATAGATATTTCATTGTCAGTATTTCGCGAGGCAGTTTTTGAAGGTCCCCTCTTCTGGTTAAACTGCAGCTCTGAATGTGTAGTTTGTGTTGAATACGACATTCGTCATTGTGAAACTATTGTAAATGTCAAGTCGTTGAAATGAAAGCATATTTAGAAAGATCATTAAATTTCATATTGCTAACAATTTCCTACGGAGAAAATTTTCCTTGAAAGTTTTAAGTTAAAAGTCACTTGAATCATAATTGATACAAGAGTCAAAATATCTTATCAAAATTGGTTATGAATTATGATTGTCGATGCTATAGTTTGTCTGTCGCTTTCCATTGTCTGCTCTGAGTTTAAATTTCATGTTAACTTAATCTCGACGTTCACCTTTGACGTTTATCAGAACTTATACAGTCAGTGAAGTTCGTTGAAAAATTCTAATACTCCTTTCTAACTTTATATATCATCAAATGAAATCGAGAAATTTGAAATTTCAAAAGCGGAAGTGTATCATGACGTCAACTGTATTAAAAGTACAAAAGCTCACAAAACGACAAAAACTTTATGATTATGTCGACATTACGAATGGAGAAAACAATAACATAAAGGAAAATATGGCTAGTTTTATGAAACAATGATGTATCGTATCATATTGTATATGTATTTTGTTTCGTACATTTGAGCCTCCTTTGTGAGTTATCTTCACCAAAGTCAAGATGTTAATAAAAGTTTGATGAAATCCGTTCGACTCCTTTTTAGGATTTTTCTTGGTTTGATAATTCCTCGAGATTTTGATTGGTTGGTTGGGAGAAGCTGTTGTACTTCCTGCGTTAGCAAAGACGGGACACTGCAAGGTGACGTCACACAACGTGCGAACGTACCGAAG